GGGGCCCCGCCGGCTCTCCGGTGCAAGGTGCCGGGGCGGCGGGCGGGCATCGCCTCCCCCATCCCCGGTCCTGCCACCCTCCCCAGGACCGGGCCTGGCTTGGGGACAACTTAGCCGGGGTGTGTGGGGGGGTGGCAAACCCCCCCTCCCCAAGGGATGCGGGGCTGGGAGCGGTGCGGAGAGGGGAGCATCCCGGGCGGGCTCCCGCCGGCCGACAGCTCGCAGTCAGCCGCGGAGTCACACACACACACACACAAAAAAGATAAAGTTGGTGAATGATAAAGACCGTATTTTCCACGCTTTGGGTGCAGGACCAGATGATCTAGAAAATGAGCTGAAATAGATTCAGCCTCAGAGCCTGTTGTGAAGAGCAGCTGATTCCCCCATTTCTGGCCAGATGGCTTCTGAACACAGATTTGCATTCATTTTCGCTTAATATCGTCCAAAATAGTGGGGCAGCTGCATTTGTTGTCAAAAAGGTTTAAAACTCCCTTTCTTTCTGGGGCAGGATCGTTACCTTATGTGATGGGCTTATGGAACTTTTTTTTTTTTTTCTCTCCCCTCCTTAGTCAACAGTATCAGATTTAAAAGGATTTGTTTTAAAACCTTCTAATTTGGTAATCAGATTTAAATCGCCTTGGCGCGTGTAATCTGAATTAAAGATACTGTAAATGATTTTAAGCATTATGCTTTCGTTAGCCGAGGGAAGAACCAACTTCGGCATCGTTCTGTGCGTTTTAGGAAAGATGTTACAATTAGAGCGTTGTTGGGCATATTTACCTTATTTTTAGGAGGGCGGATTTTGCGCGCTGGGGGGGTGTGAACCGGCAGCCCCCAGCCCCCGGCGGCCGCTCGAGGTCCCTAAATGTGTCGGTGCCACCAAATGCCACCTCCAGCCCGAGCACCGCATTGTTTGGGAACTTTGGCTCGTTCGTCCCTCCGCGATGAAAGTGCGAGGTTTGGTGATCTGCTCTACTGTACCTCAAAAGCTCCGGGCTGATTATGAATACAGGAATTTTCTTTTAATTTATCATGAATAGTTTCCATACACTTTGATTTAAGGTTATTAACATTCTATAGACAGTGGCATCTTTAATATGTGGCGATCGCTTCTAAAGACTAATCTCATTACCCTCAAATAGTCATAAAATATGATTTTATTATACTTACGTATTTAATTAGACGGCCAGCAATGTAATGGATTTTGAGATCGGGTAGAGCAACAGCTTTGATAATTCACTTATCTTTGGCAATAGTCATTAACCCCCAACACCAGCAAAATAGATTGCTTTCTAACACATCTTTTTTCTTTTTTTTTTTTTTTTCGCTTTTTCCCTCACCCCCTCGGAGAAAGGATCGGTGTGTGTGTGTGAGGGGGGGGTGTGTGTCTCCTGATAACGCAAATCGGACTTCGATTTTCACCGATTAATTAAAATATTAAGGCGCGGACCTTGGCAATTCACAAAAAAAAAATAATAAAAAAAAAATTTTTTCTTTTTTTTTTTTTGGAAAAAAAAAAAAAAAAAAAAAGGGAAGTTCTCACCCACACTGGGCGGAAAAAAGCTCATCACTCGAGGCGGATATATATATATATGGACAAGGCGGACATATAGCTGTGGAGGTCCATGCGTGTGCGCGCATGAAGCCCTCAAACAGAGAGAGAGAGAGAGATTTGGGTGCGGGTATTTATATGGGGGGGGGAGTGATGCTGGAGGGGTGCTGCACCCTTTGTCCACCCTCTTGCCCCCCACCCAGCCCCTCCACGAGGGTCGCAGCCCCCTCCTGCGGCCCACGAGGGGGGGTTCACCGGTGGTGGGTTCCTCGAAGATACTTTGAAGAAGATATTTGGGGATGCGCTCCTGCCCGGTCCCGGCGCCCCCC